AGTCAACCTGCTGACAGTGGACATCATGAAGCTAGACTCAGCCCCCTGAAACCTGACCCCTTGCCTCATTTGGATGGCTTCTCCTCAATAAAAGGGTTCAGCACTTGCTTCTCTCTCTCTCTCTCTCTCTCTCTCTCTCTCTCTCTCTCTCTCTCTCTCTCTCTCGGATCCCTAAGGTCAGAGGAGCCATCACAGGACCTGTGTGTCTTTTGTGTGATTATTTCGTGAAGCCCAGTTCACCTGGAGTGACCCTGAGTGTTTAGTTGTGGAACATGACAGAAAGTGGTGATATAGAAGTGAGGGAACATAGATGGACACTGATAAGTCTGAGTTGAAAAGTGATTCAGAAAAGCCAGAATCTGAATGTAGAAAAGTTTTTGATAGGACGTTTACCCAAATTATCTCAATTTTATATATATATATATATATGACATTCCCTCTTCTCCTAACAGTATAATTATATTTCCCTGCTTAAGCCTACATAAGACCTACATAAGAATGATTTGTGATTTTAAAAAGTCTATTTCTAATTAAGTCTAAAAGACATTGTGTATTAACTTGGCCACATTTTTCCTTTCTCAGTTTCTTTAATGGTATAGCCTACAATTAATATMATTTGAGATTTAATGAAGTTTAATTGTAATAACAATTTGCTGCTTTTATGTATCAGGTATGTTACTTGTTTAATCTCATTTAATTCTTCTAGCAATTTTGTAAGGCCTGATATTATTATTATGTTTTAAAGATGAGGAAACAAAACTTCAGAGACAATGTATCTTGCCTGCTGCTAAGTAGTAAAAACAATATTTGAACCCAACTCTATTGACTCTTAAGCTAAGATGCTTAACCTCTGTACTCTATCACATCTAATTAGCCAAAGTTAATTAGCTTGACTCTCGTTACTTAACATGATATACTAGGACTATATGTACTGTTAGGAGAAGAGAGAATGGTCATCTCTCATGTCATTGAAGTGAGACTGCTTCCTTTGAACTGAAAAAGACTGAAGTGTATTATACCAATTCTTTAGCCTCAGACATATCAGGAAAGTACTTGCATGTGAGGTCTCTTATTATAAATAGAACGTCAAGGTTTAAAACCAAAATTTGCAGGTGTAGTTGAGAACAAATAAAGCCAGTATGGACTAATTGTAGTGCATGTTGGAAATTCGGTGAAGAACTAGGATGATCTTGCTTGGTATAAGGGGCTCTAATAAGCAGAAWACAGATGTTTAATAAGGAAGCATAGTCAGGAGTGAACGTCTCCTGACTATGCAGACCAGCTAGCAAAGAATTAGAAGATGCATAGGTTAGCATTACCAGCAGGAACATTGAGTCTGAGGGGATGGTTCAACCAGAGTGCTGCATGACCCAAAGCTAGTAATGACATCTGGACCCAACTAGAAGTACTAAACAGTAGATAAGGAATCAAGAGGGCTTTATGGGTTTAATTAAGAAATGAAAGTATGATTATGCACTATCTTGACCACGGTAGGGGAAATTAGCTCTCACATGCAAAATTAGTGGAAGTGCAAATTGGTACAGTYGCTTTAAGAGATAACCTGGTGATATCTGCTAAAATTTATTTTAGCAGTTTATACATAGTTTATCCTGTTGATATATGATAATTAAAATTTAATTAAATAAAATTAAATAAAATTTAATTTTATTTAATTAAAGATGCATATACTTTAATAAAGCAACTCTATTTTAGGAATTTATCCTACAACAATTCAGATATGTGCATAAAGACATGAAATGTTCATTGCAACATAATTTAAAATAACAAAAGTTATTTTATTCCACTAATCTTAACTGGCAGGTGTCATCTCCCCAGGAAATGATTTCTGTATACACCCCTCTCTTCAGTTTTAGTGCCCTCACCCCTGTGCTTATAAGCACCTAAGCATCCCCAATCCTAAAAACTCTAGTAATAAAAGGATCTGTTTATTTGCCTGCCTCCCTCTGTGAGATTACTATTATCTACCTCATTTTGCAGAAGAGAAAGCTTAGACTCTAAAGGCCTCCCAGCCCTCCCATTGGACAAAAGTATATTCAGCCTGGTATGGTGGTGCATGCCTGTAATCCCAGATATTGGGGAGGCATAGACAGGAGGATCACAAATCTGAGGCCCGTCTCARCAAATTAACAAGACCCTATCTTAAAAATTTAAAAGATGGGGGTGGGAGGGTGGGGATGTAACTCGGTGGTGCAGTGCCCCTAGGTTCAACCTCCAGTACCCAAAAAGAAAAAAAAAAGAGTATATTCAAAGTCATAGAGGCACAAAAGATGGTGGGATGGTGGTGTGTTGGGAAAAAGAGCAAGGGATCAATGTGGCTAGGTGTAGTATGATGTTAGGAGAGGGAATTGACTTTAACCTACACTTAAAATCTCTTAGGAAAAAAGTTGTAAGTGTAAAAGAGTTTACGCTTTTCCATAGAGTCAAGATGAGAAACTGAGATTTAGGAAGGACAGAAAAAGAGTAAAGCTGAGATTCAAATGGATCTTGACTGGATCCTTTTTGCTCTTTGATAGAGGACATGTGGTTTCCATGTCTGGTATCTGATATGGACAGCAGCAAATTTGGAGTTTGAGGCCTGAGTTTGAGATACAGAACTGATTGGAGGACCAGAAAGAATCAGCTTCCTCCCCAGGCATTTCCAGCATTTTGCTGTCATCCCTGCCACTTAGGAATGGAGTCTAAGATTTCCTTTGGACAGCCTGGGCTAGCCAGCTTTCAGTTTCCCTAAACTTATGTTGGGACCTCAAACAGAAGCTGAGGGAGGATAAAGCTACTGTTTCCTTAGTGCAGGTCTTTCTGGGATATCATTAACAGATATCATAGGGAATGGTCTTGATCCTTCTCAAAGACAGTGGAGTCAATAGAGCATGTCAATTTTCCCTCCCCCATACGAGACAGTTGGGTCATGAATTATTTTCATTCTCTCACCAAAAATACTTGATATCCCCCAATTTCCACATCCCTAGTTCTAAGTAACAGTGGGTTGCAATACAGGAACAAGAATGCTGTGGTTGCTAATCAGGTACAATGCAAGAGAACTGCCACAACAGCTCTTTCAAATGGCTATTTCCCTTTAAAAATGATGAACTGATGTGTGTGTGTGTGTGTGTGTGTGTGTGTGTGTGTGTGTGTATGCACACATGAACTGAGATACTATGATTACTAACTAACCTTCTTGGCCCTAACGCTAGTCACTTCCTATTCTAGACCAGGAATGGCAGAAACATCAGGGAAACCAAAAATCAGAAAAGCAAAAAAGCCTGGGTACTGGAATAGAGGGTAGTTAGCTAGTGAAGGATGCCTTGGAGGAAAGTTGTGGCAAGTTAAGATTAGAGCGCTGGAAGTCAGGGCTGGAGATGTTGCTCAGTGGTAGATGCTCATCTACCACGCATGAGGCCCTGGGTTTGATCCCAAACATCACAAGAAAAGAAGAAAAGGAAAAGGAAGGAAAGAAGTCTGGAAATCTGAGACATACAAAGACTAGATTCCTAAGCTAGAGACCAGGACATTCTCAGAATTAAGCAAGTATTCACTGAGATCAGTTGATTTGATTCTTCTTAGCTAATTTTACATCAGCATCTCCTCCAGTAAGACTTACTGAGGCTCTCAAACCAGGAATGCTTCCAAATATCCATCCAACATATCAAACAAGCTAAAGTACTTTTAAACAAGACACTCATGTTCTGATCCCATCCTACTTTTCTATATTTGTCTCTGCCACCTCCCCCCTAAAATAAACACACAGAATTCTCTAACCTCTCCCAGCTATTTGTAGGTCCACAAACACACAACAGTCTTTCATGTCCCTGTGCCTTTGGATTCTCAGCCTATTTGCCYTACCCCTCAATCTGTCTCACATCTCCTCTTGGTGAATTCTTGCTCTTCTTCCAAGGTCCAGTTTCCTTTTCTGAATTCCTATGGTTTTTTTCATAGGGCATTCATCACATTGCATTATAATTTGTGTGCACCTGCTTGCCTCCCTGGATAATTACAGTGACTTTGTAATAACAATATGGTGAAGAGTAATTTTAAGAATAATATGGTGAAAGTGTGAATGTTATTTTAATCATTCAGAAAGAAATGGAAAATGGAATAGGACTGAAAATCTTTAAAACACAAGTAAAGAATGGTGGAATACAATTGTTATTAGTTCTCAGCTTTCACAGGTAAACTTAATTGAAGAAGGGTGTGGATCTAAAGAGAGTAAGAACTCTTTAGATCAAGTCATACCAGCTCTGCAGAGAATCCATGGCTACAGTAGACAGAGGAGCTGTGGAAATTAGACTTTCAGTGAGAAAACTCCTAAAATTGTAATTGAAATGACCTCCCCTTTTTCTTCCTTCATRAAGTCTCCACATAGGGTGGGATCTAGATCTGAACACATTTATGTAGCTGTGTGTTAATGTTAAAATGGTTTTTAAAGAAGAAAAATGCTACTAAAAATGTGGATTCAGCAATTTTGAGGATTTGTTTTAAAACTTTCTTCAAAGAGATGTCTCAATGCAAAAGATGCCAYTTGTTTAATTTTTCATTAAGATTAGTGTGGCCCACCTGCCTGGTGCTCCCAGAGCCCATCAGTGGCTGCATGGGGGCAATGGGTGTGCGTGAGGACAGGGGGTGCATCTAGGTGAACGCCGACCTTCATAACTTAGGAATGGARAGCCCACACAAATAACTTTCCCACTCTGAAAGTAATTAAACCCATAACTTTGAAGATATAAACACACCAGTAATAGGGCTGAAAGTCTTTAATATTAACAGAGAAGTAAAATAATTATGAATAATTCCATCTTAACCCCAAAATGTTCTAGTGTTTTTTAGTGACCTCAATGAATTTAATTACCAAAAAAATGACTTATGCCGAAATACGTATGTTAGACTTAATATTAGCTAAGGATGACTAAGTTCACTCCAAAAGGAAACTACAATGAAGTAAAATAACATCTTCTACTTCTCAAACGGAATTCTGTGAGCAGGAACACATCAAAGACAATGCTTGTGGTTACCAGCTGCTGTGTGAGGTCGAAATCATCAACCACCACACTTTATACGGACTTCTTTTAAAACCACAGCAAAACAAAGGGACGCAGAGATAGCTCAGAAAGGTCTGCGCGCTAGGGGAAGTAGGAGAGATCTGAGAAAATGAACCTGGAGAGAAGAAGGTATCCGTAATTCAGCTCTCCACAGGAGTCGTCTCGAGGGTTCCCCGGCTCAAAGCAAAGTGGGAAGTGGGGGTTTCGGGTGTTCCCTTGAACTCTGGGAGGACTTGTGGCTCCTTCAATTCCAGAACCACCCGGCTCAAAAGGCCTTTGAGTAGCTGCATTTCTTGGAGCAAAAGGTCTACWTTGGGTTTCAGAGCTCCAGCGGATTGTTCCAAGAGCGTCGGCGGAGCGCAGGCGGGTGACTCAACAGTGGGGGCGCTGCCTCCTGGGAACTGCAGCCCAGCTAAGGTGGCRTTTGGGATGGAGGTGACGGACTGGACCGATCTGGACACTGGGGGCTTTCTGAAGGAGAACGGCTTGTTACCTGGAGCGAAGGCTGCAGCTTGTGGAGCTGGAGCGGTGGTGGACGCCTGATCCAGAGGGAAGCCTGTGAACACGACACACACCAAGTGATTGATGTACGGCTGAAATCGTCAGCCCTGGGCGCAGGGGTCGGGGGAGAAACTTGGGACTGGCGAAGGGGAACGACGAGGACCTGAATAGCAGCAAGGAAGAGAGGTGGCGCTGAGGTGAGAAAAACAGGACCAGGATGTGGAGATTGGAAGACAAGGGGCGGACAGGGGACGGAGAAAAGGCGACCCGTGAGTGCGCAGAGGAGGAGGCCGGGCTGCGGCGGTGGGTGGGCGTGCCAGTAAGGAGGGCGATTACTCACCCGGCCCTGGGAGTTGCAGCCAAGGGCTCCGTTTCCGGACGCTGCGAGTGGCGGTAGCCGCCTCGCACCAGTACGCTTCAAGCTCTTCGACCTCGGGCTCTGGGACCGTGTAYTCAGAGCCCCAGTCGAAGCGGCGAACAGCGCGACTGTACTTGTAGAAGGCGAACTGCAGTGGCGTGTCGCGCTTCTGTGGGTGCAGGCGCGTCTCGCAGCGCAGGACCACCCCGCGGTGCGCTGCGCCGCGGATCTCCTGAGGGCGCATAACCCTCAGCACTGGTGTCTGGAACAGCTCTGCAGAGAGGGCAGCCCAGAGGCGGAAAATGCATKTTGGGTTTCGACAGGAATGGAGCCCGGCAAGGGAGAAACCAAGGTCAACCTGTCCTTTCCGGGGGTCCCCTCCCCTCCCCTCCCACTGGACCTAGCGGACCCAGAGACCCAAGTGTAGCCTGTGTGTACACGTGGAGTGAGGGAGGAAAGATTTTTGAAAAGTGGGGCAGAGGATCCGAGTCTACGAAGAGTCTTAAAAGGTTAAAGGGAATCAGGACCAGACCAAATGCTTCAGGCCACCACCCAACTGCCACTCAGCTTGTATTCTCCAGCCTAGAAGTGGGAGCGCTGCACYTGCCACGCGGGGTGCTCGGAAGCTGAGCCCTCGTCCCAGTAGCTTAGCGCCCTGTACCACTGCCGCTGGCCTACTTGTTGGGACTGTGGGGTCCCCGAACAGAAGAAGCTGGGAAGTGGGGAATGGGGAATGACACCAGCCTACAAGGTCTCTCATGCATTCAATCGTCTGTGGTCTGAGAAACCCACCAGTAGCAGCTGCTCTAACCCCGCCTCCACCTTTCCCCTCACTGTTCCTGTTCCAGAATTTCCYAGCGTTTCCGGACCCCAAGTCTCCCCTACCTTGCACGGTCACAGCCACCTTGGAGGAGAACATGGGCGCGCTCTCTACCGGGATGCGCATGGTGCCAGAACACTGGTAACGCCCACTGTCGCTCGCACGCGCCTGCAACACTGTGTAGTTGGTGCTAGAGTGGAAATAGCGTACAGCCTGGTCCTCGTGGTAGTAGTGAAGCTTGTAGACCACCTTGTCGTACCAGCCGCGGCAGCGCATAACCAGCGGTTCGCCCTCGAACACCGCGGCATAGGGCACCTGCAGAATCAGCCAGTCTACAACGGACCAGCAGATAAGGTTTGCCTCACAGTAAATCCAGCCCTGCTGGTCTCCTCTTCTCAGCTGCTTTCCTTTTCCTCCCCACCACCTCCTTCCCCCTTTCCTGAACCAGTTGGTCTTGCTGGGTAACTGGCAGGTGACAGTCTCATAGAGCAGAAGGCTTAGTTAGAGTCGGGAGGAAGGAGAAAAAAACAGTTTCTCCTTAAGTACTAGGGAGGCAAAGATGTGCTTTCTTTGGGTCTAGCCCATCAGAATTAAGCTTAAACTCTTTAAAATGACTTCAGGCCTTCCCAACCTGGTCCCCTGGTTCCTTCCTCAGCACCTACTTCAGTGTTCTTCTCTGTGGCATTTCTTATTTACCCTCCCCACGTTTCGCTCAACACAGGTTAAGTTCCAACCATACTGAACTGCTGAGAAAACTGGCTGTGCTCTGAACCCAGGGCCTTTGCATCTGCTATTTCCTCAGCCAGTAAGCCCCTTCTTCACAGATTTCAGTTGAGTCTTATTTGTCCTGTGTGTCTAGATTTAGACCTATATCYTGAAGAGCACTGCGGTAACACCCTAGGACAGCCTTAGGTATCTCCCAAAGCACCACATATTTATCCAATCACCATCAGCATCATAGCTAACATATAATAGCCCTTAATAGCCCTAACATATACTACATGCCATTTTAGAATTCTGCGAGTAATAGCCACAATCCACATGCCACTCTCAGTCTGTGAACTTCAAACCATTGTGTGTTGTAGTCAGTATATGCTTGTTTTCAAGTATAAGTTGCTAATTTGAACATTAGGTGACACCCTTAAATTTTAAATATAAATTGTGACCCACCACGCTAAGATTTATATGATACTCCCTATGAAGTGGCCAATCCTGTATCTTAGTGAACAAATTATTATTCCTTTTCTTATCATATTTTGAAACCCTTCAAATATTTCCAGCCAATTTCTCAGTTGACTCCTTTGTGCATGTGTATACATGCCTCTAATTAAATTTTGATTAAGTGCACTGTTCAGTTGCTGTTTTTTTCTTTAATAATATTTCATAATTCATTTTTAATGATCACAACAGTCAAAGAGACAGACATATTATCATCCCTACATTACTGATATGAATACTGATATACAGAGAAGTATTGCACTCCAGCTGAGACTAATTCCTCTTGCTGTGCTCAGACTGGCCAGGGAAACTTACTTTTCCTGCTTTGATCTACTTTTTTCCTGCCCAGCCCCCCCGAGTTCTTCATCCAGTATCCTATGCCCTCAAAACTCTTGCTCTTCTGATCTGATCTGAGAAACAAACAGAAATGTTGGTTTCACACTGTGGCAAAAGGTTAAGGGGGAACTTTGAGCCAGGCAAACCTTACTTCATCTCTCCCWCAGCACTGCACAGACTCCTGCCTACTCCAGAGACTCAAGTAGTCCTCAGTGTGACCCTCTTTTCCTGCCTCTTGGGAATGGACAAGTGCGCTCCCCCATAGGAAGGCCAATATCACCAGAGGAGGTCCCTGTGCTCTCTCCCCTCTGCTCAGACCACTCACCATTAGATACAGAGAGATGAATGGGGTCACTGACAGGTGCTCCCCGCGTCTGGCACCGATATATTCCTGGTGTCTGTACCTCGATGCTCTTCTTATGGGAGGGCAGAAGTAGGTGGCCCAAATACCAGAGAGTGTTGATAGGCCGGAGCTCCAGGAGCACAGGGTGGTATCCATCACATCGCAAGGTTACCCGCTCCCCCTTGAAGATGGTGGTCCAAGGTGGGTGTAGAGACAATAAGGGCTTCTCCAGTGTAGCTGGGGATGTGTGGGAAGGGGCACCATAGGAAAGAGAAACAAGATGAGGTACATCAAAGATGTGTCCTGAGGTTGGGAAATTTTAGAAAACCCTAGTTTCCAGGRCCCAGCTCACATACTAACCCACCCCACAGGAAGGGAGACCACACTCATTGGGCTACAAACCAACAGTTCATCAATCAGCACCCATTTCTACAAGCAAACTTGGTCAAGGATTGAAGAAGAGTGAAAAGAGATACTATTTCAGAACAGCCAAAAAGTGGGGAGTTTACCCAAGCAGATTACCTAGGGAGATTGGAGTGGAGGTTTTAGAAAATTGGGTTGAGGGATGCATTCAGACTCACCAGCTTGCCCACTGCTTTGAACTGCAAAACAAAAAAGAAGGAAAGAGGGAAGTGTTGGAGATGAGAGGAAGGAAAGATTCTTGACCAAAGGAAAGATCAAAGGTCTTAAAGCAGGTTTTTCTTCTGTCCCCAGTTACCCCAGCATTGCAAAAGCTCCCTGCTCTCTTCTTCAAAAATAGATAATGAACACTTGAAATCTGAGGATTGAATGACCACTTCCCCTTTCCCACACATCCTGCCCCAAACTATTCTCTACCACCCAAAGCCCTTCTGGTGCTCATTTGAAAACTTACCTAGGAGAAAGAGGGCTGTTAGTGCCCACATGGTGTGTCTGCTTGCAGCAGCTGCAGAAGGATGGAAATGTGCTGGCATGGTTTATGGGTAGAAAGAGAAAAGGTGGCAGTGGCTGACCTCTGAGTACTAGGAGACACTGCTGTTTTTTCCTCCCATTCCTAGATCCCGAAGATGGTAGACTAAAAAGAGCAGGAGACAGAATATGAATATGTTACCTTCTACCCTCAAGTATCCCAAACATCAAGTGTTGTCTGTCCCATCCACTACCTTGATACCTAGCCTTCCCAGCTCAGGCCAACCCTGACTTCTGTAGAGAGGGCATGCAGAACTTAGGCCTTCTACAGCACAAGAGAGTCTCATAGAACGCCAGGCTCCTGCAGGTAACCCTAACATCTTCAGGCTCCAATCAATATTCCACTCCCTCTCCACCAGCCAACCCTATAATCCTCARTTGAGGAAGACACATCCTCTTGTCCACAAGGTCCACCTAGGGCTTTTTTTGCTCCCTCCCAGATGTCAGACATTGGTACAGGTCTAGAGAGGTCAATGTTGGGTCTCCTGCACCAGAATTGACATTCTCCCACAAATGAGTAGATTCWTTGACCACCCTCCCATGCCCCTGCCATCTAATTCTCCAGAGACAGGAGTATAATGTGTTTTCCCTCTCGCTCTTCCTGAAAATTTAAACCCTCAGAAATTAGAAAACTCTTCTTTCCTACTCACCCTAATGACCTCACCTTGTGGCAACTCCTCTTCTTCCTCCCTCCCTCCCTCCCTCCCTTCCTTCTTTCCTTCCTTCCTTCCTTCCTTCCTTCCTTCCTTCCTTCCTTCCTTCCTTCCTTTCTTCCTTTCTTCCTTCCTCCCTTCCTTCCACTGGGTCCTGCAACCCCTCCCCAACCACATCTCAGTCCCAGGACTCCTGACCTGCAGTAGAGAAGTCACTGCACCAGACCTTCGGAAGTTTCTCAGATCCAACCTCCTGGCTCTACTTCTTGTGCTCTCTGAGCCATGTGACCATATCTGAGCAATGGGGAACCTGAATTTTCATGTAAATACTTAATGAAGTTTCCAACCTGATAGTATATCTGCTTAGAATCTCTCTTGCCCTCATCGATGGCTGTTTAAAAGAAAGGCACCTCCTTCTCTTGGAACTCTGGCAGGAAGGAGATCAGTTATCAGACACTGTCAACTTATTAAGATAGCATCCTCCTTCTTTTTTCTCTWTATTTATATTGGTATATTATAATTAYATAGTGGTGGGACTTGTTGTTACATACTGGTACATGAACATAACTCATCCTCCTCTTTTGTTAATGCCCAAAATTCCACTCTGAAAATTCCCTCAAAATTTTTGCTCAATGTGCCATTCCTTGTTAAAAATGCAAATACATCTTAGGGTGTGGTCATTTAAATTATGCTGGCCACTTCATATCCTGTTTTGAGAGCAAGTTTGATAAAAAAAAAAAAGATAGTCATGTATGTCTGAAAAGTAGAGAAGTATTGGATAAGGTTCTCAGGAATAGGGCAGGGAGATAAAAATAGACACTAGGAGCAGAGATGATCAACGGTCTACTATGAGTGCCCGGGGTGGGCAATGCTTCTGTGCTTCCCTGCACCCTGCCTGGCTCTTCATCTTGGGACCAGTATGGGGGCTCCTCACATCATCCACACTGCCTATACAGAGGTCTGGCTTCTGCCAACAGGCCATTCCCTGCATGATAAGAATGTATTGCAGCTGGCCACGGTGCAGTAGCACATGCCTATGATCCCAGCAACTCCGGAGACTGAGGCAGAAGGATCACAAGTTCAAGGCCAGTGAAGTTAGCAAGACCAAGTCTCAAATAAAACAAAAGAAAAATTTTTTTAAAGAGTTAGGAATGTAACTGGGTTCAATTAATTTAAAAAAAAATAATAAAAATTTTTAAAATGTAAAGCACCTGTCAGTTATCCTCTTGRTTTGTACAGTGGACTCTAATTTGGCTCCTCATCACCTAGAGCACAGGTCTTAGTCCTTTTCCTGAATTCCAGAAGAAACCTGTCTACATCCAAGATTTATGTGCTATGTAGACTTTCCTGGAAAACTCAGAAACCAACTGTAGAATTCACATCATACAGGACTCAAAATTTGACTCAAAAAAAAATAGCCTGCTCATCTGAACTTTCATATGAGCATGCATAGATATGGCACAGTGGGTCTCAGCATCAGATGTATCCACAGGACACAAATTAATTAACAACAACAACAACAACAACAAAACCCCAGTAAATTGTAAAGGGTTTGAAGAGAAAGAGGTGGAGTGAAAGGAGGGGAAGTGGGATGGTGGGGGAGAAGGGCTGGGGACTGAATTGCAGCAGGTTGAGTTCCATACATTTGTGATAATATCAGAGTGTATCCTGATGTTGTATGTAACTAAAGAGAAGTTTAAAAAATAAATTAATAGGACATTATTACCCTATGACTACACGGCTGCTGTGATTCTATATCATGTACAACCAAAAGAATAGAAATTATACTACATTTATRTATGATGTGTCAAAGCACATTCTATCTTCATGTATAACTAATTAGAACAAAGGCACCCTGAGGCGGCATCCTTTCCCTGAGTCCCACCTGCAGGCGGTGGGCACAGTGACAAGAGCACCTAGGCAAATAGTCCGCTGGGGCTTGGGGAGCCGCTTGGGAGATGCGTTCTTCCAAGGCCCACCTCTTCCCGCAGGATCCCATGTCGGTGCAGGACCGGGTGAGGGGACGTGGACTGGGTTTCTTGCTTGAGGAATGCTGTTAGGCTTCCTGAACAGGTTGGTAGTGTGGAATAGAGGATGAGGAGGCAACTTCTGAGCAGAGTGTTTCTGTGAGAGGGAGTGTCACAGATTAAGACTCCCAAGTCAGTTMTATCTCTCCAAGACACCAACCTCTGTGAGATGTGTGGCCTTATCTTAAAAGTCACCCTTCACTTGGCTGAGCATAAGGAAGCACACCACAAGCAGAAAATGTGCATGTGTTGAGCATGTGAGAAACAATTCTATTTCAGTACAAATTATCAGCACAAGAATCAGCATATTGGAGAGAAGCCATTCAGAAGTGATATGGGCAGAACCTCATTTGTGAAGAGCTATAAATTCCATGAACCAGAAAGGCCTTTATATGCAGAGAGGTTGGAAATGATTTCCGGACAAGCTTGGAATTTCTCCATCAACAGTCTTCTTCTTCCTGTGGAAAAGTCAAATAGCAATACATTCTATCGTCATGTATAAATAATTAGAACAAATTTAAAAAAAATTTTTTTAAATGAGCTGCCTCTCACAGGGGAAAGCTCATTGTAACTGGGAAGAATGTGATGAAGTGTTCATCCCCAAACACACACTTGTTCAGCATTAGAGAGCCCTCACCAGAGAAGGATGTTACATGTGCAGAGAGTATAGGGAATCCTTTACCCACAGCTCCAGTCTCATTAAACACCAGAGTACACACTGGAGAAAGACCTTATAAGTGCTCAGAGTGTGGCAAGTCCTTTAGCCACCTCTTTCAATATTGGAGAGTTCACCCTGGAGAAAGGCCTTATAAATGCTGTGAATGCAGTAAATCCTTTACCCAGACCTACAGCCTCAATAACCATTGGAAAGTTCACCCTGGAGAGAGGCCTTTTGAGTGTGGGGAATGTGGGAAATCTTTATACAAAGATCCATCCTGATCTAACATCACAGAATTCACACTGGACAAAGGCTTTTCAAGTGTAGTGAATGTGGGAAATTCTTTAGCCAGAGCTCTGCACTCCTGCAACCGCATAGTATCCACACTGGAGAAAGGCCTTATGAGTGTGGGAAATTCTTTACCTACAACTCCAGTGTTCTAAACCACCAGAACATACACACTGGATGAAGGCCTTATCAGTGCAGTGAACGTAGGAAATCCTTTAGTAGTACTGCAGCCTTATTCTACACCTGAGAGTTCACACTGGAGAAAGGTCTTATGGGTGCAGTGAAAGTGGGAAATCCTTTAGCCAAAGGTCTGCATTCCTTAAACACCACACAGTTCCTACTGAAGAAAGGCCCTATGAGTGCAGCAAATGTGCACTCCAACTTCAGTGACCATAGGAGAGTTCATACTGGAGAAAGGCCTGAGAGGGTCTTTAGTGTGGAAAATCTTAGCAAAAGCTCTGGCCTCATTCAACACCAGATTTCACACTGGAGTAGGGCCTTATAAATGTGTTGAATATGAGAAAGCTACCAGCCAAATGCCTTTCCTCAGGTACCACGAAGTTCACATGGGGAAGACACCCTAATATCCTGGAAGTGGGGTGCTTTTTTGTTTAGTGCAATGACACTGGAGGAGATCCCTTAGATAGGCGCCATTTGCCTGAACTTAACCTGATTCATTCACACGTCCACATTAATTCCAGGTGTCGGGGAAGCTTGAAGCTTTGTGCTGTACTTCTAAACCTGTCCAGGGCCTTTGCCCAAGCTTTAGTCACCTTCAATACTGTAACTGGAGCCCTGTGGCCTCCATCACCTGCCAGGCACCCACAGTGTGTGTTGGTACTCCTTTTGCATAGGGAAGTGGTTAGTCTTTGCTTTCCCATCCCAGAGAAGGATTTGTGAGATGACAGCATTCACTCCCAACGTGTTAAGGTCTGGGTCTGACTCAGGTTTGGCCTCAAAGACCTGGTCTGAGTCCTGCTTGTGAATTAAAAGAATTAAAAGATGGACTACATTTTCCAGGAATATTGTTTGTCTTTCATGACCAGTGATGGAGTTTCGTGGCCTTTATCTGACCAACCTGAGAAAAGTCTGCCTCTTGTTTCTCTGCTTTGTGTGATGATAAATTTCTTTAAAAAAAAAAGAAAGAAAGAAAGAAAGAAAGAAAAGAAAACTATCCTGCCCAACATTTATTTATTTTTTCCTTTTTTTTTGACATGGGGGATTGAATTTAAGGGTGTTTTACCACTGAGCACATCCCCAGTCTATTATTATTATTATTATTATTATTATTATTTTGAGTCAGAGTCTTGCTAAGTTGTAGAGGTTGGCCTTGAA